AACAAAATTCCTAGTTCTTAATATGACAATTTATTATTATTACTGATTAAAACATGCATATTTTTCATATTAAAAGGCTCTAGATCTTATTTAAATCTTCTGTTTTTAGTTAGTATTTTGTAACTCTGCACCAGAAAGAGAAGTGGGAGATAAGATTCCATTATTGAGGATGGCGGTGCACTCCTATAAGCCTAGCACCTGGGAGACTGAGGTAGAAGGATAGCAAGTTAAGGCTAGCCTATGATATACAAGCAGGCCCTTTGTCTCAGAACAAACAAACAAAACAAAATAACAACAAAAATCACCCCATTGTTACCAGATGAATTAGAAGTCCATGTTCCCCACATGGAGTCTGTTGATATCAGAGGTTTCTAATTGCTGTTGGACAAGTATTCTATCTCTTTAATGCTGTGGGATGGTCTGTATGTCAAGTATGTTGCTGATTGGTCAATAAATAAATGACTGATTGGCCATTGGCTAGGCAGGAAGTATAGGCGGGACAAGGAAGAGAATAAAGCTGGGAAGTGGAAGGCTGAGTCAGAGACACTATCAGCTGCCACGATGACAAATAGCATGTGAAGATACCGGCAAGCCACGAGCCATGTGGCAAGGTATAGATTTATAGAAATGGATTAATTTAAGCTGTAAGAACAGTTAGCAAGAAGCCTGCCACGGCCATACAGTTTGTAATCAATATAAGTCTCTGTGTTTACTTGGTTGGGTCTGAGCGGCTGTGGGACTGGCAGGTGAGAGAGATTTGTCCTGACTGTGGGCCAGGCAGGAAAACCCTAGCTACATTTTAATTAGCCTCTGCTGAAACTGTGAGGTGGCTTTATTGATGCTGGGCAATGGTGAAAGTTCCTAACTCTCTACTAGGCTCCCACTGACACTAGCCCAAAGGGGAGGGAAAGAGGAACCTCATTTCTGTCCAGTAGGTATGGAAGCATAGAGTCCCTATGTGCTTTCCAGTGTCTTGGGGAAAGGCGACCTTTACAGACCAGTGTTAAAATTTCTGATTTCCACATATTCTTCCTTGATACTACTAGAACACAAATGTCTCACTATGCTTCACACGAGTGTAGTCTACACTTGTTACATGGTATCTGCTTACATAGGCTGGCATGGGGCCATTGTTATTCTTGGTATTTAGCTGAAGCAGAATGGTTATTGTCTAATGATTTTCTGTCCTGGTAGGCTGTCATTTTTCTTATCCTTTGGGTATATAGCCTAGGCTTTTATTGGCATTTTTGTTCACTTGTTTATATCCATGGGTATTTCCAGACTGCTGTCTTCATCAGCTCCAAGTCTTAGATATATGAGTTAAAAAGTAAAACCAGAGATTCACCACTGTGCCATTATCTGGCTCTTCAAATTCCCAGCTACTCACCATCTTTTGGAGTAGTCTTATTTTTGTTTTATCTGTAATATCCCAGGGTTTTGACAGGAGGATTAGAGAAAACAGATCAGGGCCATCAAGATGTGAAAAGTCTAGTTACACTCTGATTTACAAAATCCTTCTCAGGAATCTTTACTGCTACATTAAATGGAATGCCAAACATGGATTTATTTTTCAGTATCGGCACTCTGCTGAGTGTTTGACCAGATATAAATGTAAGGCCTTACAAACCATCTCAGTATGTTATCAACTGTAATCCACCCAGGCCCTATTCATTTTGGATTAAGAGTGAACAGACAACCACAATGCTAATACTATAATTATGTGCAGAGTGTCAGAGCTTCCACCTGACACTTCTGCAAGCATTTTAGTCTCTCTGTGCTCATATGTACATATTCATTTCCAACACAAGAGCTTAGAAAAGTGAGCTCTTGTTTCTTGCTTACTCCTTATTCTCACTTTACCGTGGATTAGGACCTATAAGTAACAGTGTGGAATATTGCTGTGCCAGTCAAACCAAGACATCCTGAAAGACAGCTCTAAAACAAACAAAAGAAAACAAAACTAAACATACACAAAACCCACAACCAACAAAAAAAACCAAACCAATGTACTTGATAATGTTTAAATATGCAGCGAGAGCCTATCTGCTAAGAATGGTCTTGTTGCTACTTTCCTGTTGTTACTGCTCCTTTCATACCCACAGCAGATACTTCTAGGGGTTTTTGCTGTAGGCACAATTTGATTGTACACCAAGGATAGGGCTTCCAATAGTCTAAGTAACTATGTGACTTCCACCCATTAGCACAGTTGCCAATCATCTTTCTCTAGAATCCGGAACTGGGAATCAGAGAAAGTGAGTCACACTTATAAACAAACAATTTACATCTTGTAAGATGCAAATCTGCGATGGGGTGTGTCCACCTTCTACAGAGAGGTATAAACAGAACCTAAAGTGTAAAAGCCCTGGAGGATTTCTCCTCCCCAGTTCCAGCCCTGGATAATTGCTTTTCTTTTTGTTTCCACAAATTACCTTGAATTCTCTTATAATTCTTCCCTCTTATTATTGTTATAGCTGTGTGCTTTAAATTAATCTATTTTAGATTGGTTTTGTTATTTGTAAACAAAGAGGTCTAGTTGTTATAGTATTTGTCAACACCTTCAGCCTTAGGCCTGTCCACACTGTGGGCATTTCTAGATTTGAAGTATGTAAGGACTCTTTCATTACAACAACTAGAAAATAGTTACCTAGGCCTTTTGCTAACTCTAAGAGTCTAAATTTCTCAGGCTCTTTGCCAATATCTATTGCATTTTGTAATTATTTTTCCTGATTTGTTATTTCAAAAAACATTTTGTATGTGTTTATGTTTGCTGCCATATGCATGCCCACCATGTGTGTGCAGGTGCCCACAGAGGCCTGAGAGGGTGTTAGATTCCTGGAATTGGAGTTATAGGTAGTTGTGAGCTACCATGTGGGTGCTGGAAGTGTATATGGCTCCTCTGCAAGAGCAGCAAGCACTCTAAACTGGTGAGTCATCTCTCCAGCCTTCATTTATAATCTTTAAAAAGGATTTTATTTTTATTGCATGTGTATCTGTATGTCTGTGTGGAAATGTGCCTGTGGAGAGCAGAGGAAAGTGTTCAGTCCTCTGGAGCTGGATTATGGGCAACTGGGAGCCACTATGTGGGTGCTGAGAACTAAACTTCAATCCTCTGCATGAGCAGCATGCCCTCTTGGTCACTTAGCCATTTCTTTAGCTCCCTGATACATACTTTTGCTGATATTATACTCTATACTTGGTTTGCCTGCCTAGATTCACTTTACTTTTTCATATTTTAGCTGTCTAATTGTACTCAACTCCTGTCAAGTAGGGCCTTTCCCATCTTGACTGCTACAGCATTCCACTAGAAATCACCAACTGCCCATTTTTATATCCTATTGATTTTGATGATTATACAGTAAAGGAATTAACATCACCAAGAGGAACATTATTCTTCACTAATACCCATTCAGAAATACTCATTCTTGAGGATACGTGCTTCTAGGATTTTTCTTCTAAATTGTATTTGAATATGTATAATGCATACATACATGTAAACATAATCATACCAAATAAAATGGTTATATAACCCATGTTACACACGTATATTGTGAACATCATTTCCTATTAATATTCACTTGCAATATTGAAGTACTACATAATATTTCATAATTAATTTAAACAATTTTTTATTCTTGAACATTTACATTCTTTAATTTTTAACTCCTATAAACAATACTGAATGAACATTACATATGTCTTATAATTCTTGGTTTCTTCCTTAAAATCAACTTCCCAAAGTGGAATTTGCTTTGTCAAGATGGGTGGTGAGATGGTGACTCAGGAGCATGTGTGAGGCCCTGGGCACAACCCCAAACCTCACAAAGAGAGTAAGGAAGAAGAGAGAACAACGTGAAGTCAGGAGTTTTCATTTATACTGTGAAATGCCTTCCAGAAACTACCTACTCGTGTGCCACAGTCAGGGAACAGATTCTTCCACTGAACAGCAAAAAATTAAAGGGTGTTTCATCACAGATTTAATATGTAGTTTTCAAATTAGCAAGACTGAACATTTCTAAATGTTTGCTGGTCATGGTATTTCTTTTGTGAATTGCTTGGTTATAATTTTTGTCTATTTTCCCATTTTTAAAATCTCTACAATTTTCCTCAGTTAATTTGTAGGCATGTACTTAGGACTTCGGAATCAAAGTTTTTAAGTGTTTGAATCCAAATTCTTCTACCTATTGTATGGCTTTGAAAAAGTTGTTTAATGTCTTTGTATCTTAATCTTGCTATGTGTAAAATGTAAGGAGCTCAGTTTGTCCTCTGTACTGGGGGGTTTTGTTTCTGCAGACTCAACCAAGCACATGCTAGGAATATATTTAGAGCTGAGATTAGTTAGATCCAGGGATAGGGAAACTGTAAATATGGGGCCCTGCTGGTCATAAGTATATAACTTACCTAGCACATGGGAAATATTTTATAAAATGTTGTCAATAATACTATTATATTTGTTATTTTCAGATTTTATTATCTTTATTTTTATTTATGTAGTTTTCCTTTGTGCCTTGGAGATAGTTCTGTTTGTCATCTTTAAAAGAAATAGTCTTATTATTGCTTTCTGCTGAGTTTCAAATAGTTGAAGTAGCCAAGATTCATTATTTAATCCTCCTCCCCTCCCTTAGGAGTATAAAGTTTTAAAATATCAGAAAATTGTCAAGTCATTCTCTAGTTACATCTCATTTATGCATACTTACTTTATAGATACAAACTAAAGTATTTTATACAAGTAATAGGTCAAATAATGCCTGATAACTTAATCCTTTACATACCTGGTATGTAATTATGACCTTGGGTTTTGTGATGTAGTGGATGCTGTTTTTAAAAGCCTATGTTTGTTTCTAAAGATAATGAACTAACAAGCTATATAAAACCATATTAAGTAGTAAGGAATGGGCTTGGGGGTGAGTTGGAGGTAGAACACTTGCATAGCAAACATAATAAGGTCCTGGGTTTGCTACCCAACAGTACATAGCTAAGCAGGATGAACACCATTGACTTACTGATGTTGTTGGAAGTCGGCTCCTGGATTGAATAGGTCTTTGATTTGAGTCGATTTTATGTTTTTAGAGGATTCCACGATAGGGAGCAAATATTGTAATATCTCCTGAGTTTGAGCTATTCTTTTATCCCTGTAGATTCTTTTTTCATCATCTGTCCAGTTTGTGCCAGTCCTCTTGCTTTGAAAAGATGTGCGTCTTTTTGCTTTCCTTTTCAATTCATGTTGTGCCTCTAGGGAGCAACCACAAATATATACATATATATATCTAGACATATGAATATATTCATTCAGCAATTTTGTCTTAATCCAAATGCCACACCAGGAGTTTTATCTGTAAGTCTTTGCTATCTAAAATTTATGGTTTAATGACAATGGGTAAAAAATAAGTAAAATACTTAGTATGTTAGGTAATAAAGTTACAGTGTAAAATAAGGCTAGGGAGGGAAATGGAGAATTCTAGGGGAAGATGGTTGACTTACATATTCAAAAAGTATTAAGAGAAGGCCTATCTATGACTCTGACATATCATAGGAGTCATGGATTAAGCCAAATTGATATTATGGGAAAGAACACTTCAGACAAAGGTACAGTTAAGTGCAAAGGAATATGGCAGTATGCGAGGACCCCAATATGGCATCAGTGGCTGAAGCAAGTGAATGAAAGGGAAGCTATAAATTCAGGTAGCAGCTTGAATTTAGCCAATATAGGACCTCACAAGTCAGTGGTTCTCAACCTTCCTAATGCTGTGACCCTTTTTAATACAGTTCCTCATGTTGTGGTGACCCCCAACCAAAAATTATTTCATTGCTACTTCCTAACTGTAATTTTGCTACTGTTATGAGTCATATTGTGAATATCTGATATGCATGGTATCTGATATGCAACTCCTGTGAAAGGGTTGTTTGACCACCCTCAAAAGGGTTGTAACCCACAGGTTGAGAACCACTGTCATAGGCCATTGCAAGAACTGTGAGTGTTAATGCAAGGGCTTTGGACAGAGATGTGCCAGTTTGAGATTTGTTTTAATAAGATCATGCTGGTTGTTGAGTTGAGAATGGCATAAACTGGGCAAGGGTAGACAAGCAAGAAGACTGCTTGTAAGACTCCTGAAGCAATTCAGGTAGTGGAGGTGGTTAAAAGGGTGAGAAGTGGGATGTAGGTCCTGGGTATGTCTGGGACTCTCTAAAGAACTGGACTGGGGTAAAAGAACAAGACAAGAATAGTGTTTGCAAAGCTTCTGTTCTGAGGAAAGGGAAGGAGTTAGGAGGCACTGTAGAAAGAACATGTTAGAAATCCTTTCTTAACATTAGATATGGAAGAAGTGTTAATTGTGATATTAGAGTGCAATAACATATATTTATCTATTTATTTATTTACTTATTTGAGACAGGGTTTCTCTGTGTAGCCCTGACTCTCCTGGAACTTGCTCTGTAGACCAGACTGGCCTCAAACTCACAGAGATCCACCTGCCTCTGTCTCTGAAGTGCTGGGATTAAAGGCGTGCCCCACCATTGCCCAGTGTAGTAACATTAAAAAAATGTTTATCATACCCTATAGCTTTTAGCCTGTTATTAAAAAATAAATCTCTCCCAAGTCAGAGAAAGTAACAAGTATTGTTAAGTATTTAGAGAATTTGGAATCCTTGTGCACTGTTGATGAGGATGTAAAATGGTGCAGCTAATATGGAGAGCAGTATAGTGTTTACTCAAAAAGCTAAAAATAGATTTATCATGTTTCCAAGTGGATTCTACCAATCCCAAAAGAACTGAAAGCATGGCATAAAAGACATATCTGTCCCCCCATGTTCATAGCAGCATTATTCACAAAGTGGGAGCAATCTAAGAGCCCATGAATAGATAATAAAAATATCATTTATCAATATGAAAAAATATTGACTTAAATCGTGAAGTCATGGTGCTAGTAAAATAAACAGTCACAAAAAGACAAATACTATAACTGTTTTCTAAATATTTAACTTCACCTATATGGAATGTATAGGGACAATAAGCAGAATAATTTCCAGGGACTGAGTGAAGGAAAAACAAAGAGCTGTTTAATGTGCATAGTTTCAGTTTTTTAAGATAAAAAGAGTTTTGAAGATTGTTTGCAGAATAATGCCAAAGAACTTAACACTACTAACCTGTACCCTTAAAAAATAGTTGAGAGCAAAATTTAAATTACATACAATTTATCACAATTAAAATAAAGTCATCATACTTAGGAAGAGAGTGGATAAGACCCGGAAGGAAGGCTGCCTATTAGTCTAGCATCTTAAAGAAAGTGGCAATATCATTTATATTATAATATGTAAATTGTTATTCAACAGCATAAGGAAAAGTAAACCACATTTAAAATTAAGTCAAGAAAACCCACAGTGCTTTGTTGTTTCTTTTTTTTTTTGGTTTTTCGAGACAGGGTTTCTCTGTGTAGCTTTGCGCCTTTCCTGGAACTCGCTTTGGAGACCAGGCTGGCCTCGAACTCACAGAGATCCGCCTGGCTCTGCCTCCCGAGTGCTGGGATTAAAGGCGTGCGCCACCACCGCCCGGCTGCTTTGTTGTTTCTTAAAGTGATTATCCAGTAAGAGATATATACTAGATTATTTGCAGGCAAAATTATAATTTGTAGAATCTGCTTTAAAATACTCCAGGAAAACCATGGTGGGAATACAGATAAAACAAAAAAGCAGGAAGCTAATAAAGGAGGTGGTGGGCCCAGTGTACATTATTCTGTACTCTACTTTTATGTTTGAAAAATTCTCCAGTGAAGTGTTTTAAAAATAGAACTGTCTATTACCAGAAGGAAAGTAAACAGAATACTAAAGCACTCATGAAATTCAGTTGGATCTGAAAGATAATGACCACAATATCTGTCAATGCTGACAAATGAACTTGTATATAGAATCTCTATAAGCCACTATTAGGCTGCTGAACAGTCACTGGTCACCTACTGTGTATCTATCACTTTGGCTAGTTGGTAATTAAATATGGAAAACATAGTCTTTAATTTCATTATGTTGGGTCAAGACTAGAGAGAAACTAAAGCATCAATGAAATTCTATTTTTGATTTGTGTATATATATATATATATGTGTGTGTGTGTGTGTGTGTGTGTGTGTGTGTGTGTGTGTGTGTGTGTGCGCGCGCACATGTATATGAATGTGTGTGTGCGTGGTGCACTCACACATGTATGCATGTGTGGAGGCCAGATGTAGATTTCTGGTATCTTCTACTGCTCTCCATCTTATTTTTGAGACAAGGTTTTTCACTGAACCTGAAGCTCACTAATTCAGGCAGACTGGCTAACCAGACAGTTAGCCTGATTGTCTCTGTGATCCTCTCATAATCCCCACTAACCCATGTGCTGAAGTTACAGGTGCTGCCACACTTGGCTTTTTACATGGGTATTGGAGATCTGAACTCAACTCTTCAAGCTTACCAAGTGCTTTACCTACTGAGCCATTTTTCCAGCCCCAAGAATGTGTTCTTATAGGAAAAGTTAGGATACTCACTCAGGTTATAGATAGGTACTTCTAGGGAACTTATGGATGGGAACAAAGGATAATGGATGAGGAAAGATTCCTAATGCATATATAATTCAGCAGGGTCTTGACAGATGAGAACAAGCTAGCTAAGTATAGTAGTGATCTAGATTAAAATATTTCAAACTGTTAATTATATGTAATATGGGGTCATGAAAAGTTTGGCAACAGTGTAAGATTTCAGAACATGCAATGACCAAAAATGCATTAAAAATCAGATGCAAAATGAATCTGAGGTGTTTCTGGCACCTCACCAGTGTTACATTGTGTGACTTCACTGAACTCTTGGTTCTGAACACTGACCATGTGCACTTTGCACTGTGCATGCCAGTATGCCATGTAACACCAACAAACTCTGCCTGAAGCACTTTAGCTCAGATTCAAAACTGTTGTATGTTACAAATTAGTATACACACAAAGTTTTCTGTTCTTATAGAAATAAAATAGTTTAATTATAAAAACAAAGACTTTTAATATTTTCCTATCATCATTCCTCAGCATATAAGTATCTAATATATTTTTGGGTTATATTATGTCAGGTAATCAAACACATTCATATTATTATGCAAATTTGTTTTATTGCTATTATGTGTATGTGTCAGATATACACATGTACGTACAGGTGCATGTGTACATGTGTGCATGAATGTGCAGGTAAGAGAACAACTTTGCATGCCATTCCTCAGGCTCCAACTTTTCTTCTTCTTCCTCCTCCCCTCCTCCTCCTCTTCTTCTTCCTCCTTCTTTTTCTTCTTCCTCCTCCTCCTCTTCCTCCTCCTCCTCCACCTTCATCTTCTGCTCACTCTTTCTCCTCCTCTTCTTCCTTTTCCTCCTCTTCATTTTTGAGACAAGAGTCTTTTGCTGGCTTGGAATTCACCAGGCAGCTAGACTAGCTGGCTAGTCAGCCCCAGGAATCTGTCTTTCTTTGACTCCTCTACTGGCATTACAAATGTGTACTACCATGCCTGGCTTCTTGGTACCAGCGTTCAAATTAAGGTCCTTTTCCTTGCAAAGCAAGTACTTTACTGAGCATTCTCCCCAGACAATGTTTTCTATGGTGATATTTTATTTGTGCTGAAATGTGGTGGTATTTTATTTATATGCTAATAAATAAAGTTTGCCTGGAGATCAGAGGAAATAGAAAGCTGTTTTAAGTAAACACAAAAGTCAGGCAGTGGTAGCACATGCCCTTAATCTGATCACTTGGCAGGCAGGGTCTCTATGTGTTCAAGGCCCTACTAGGGAACAGAGTCAAGTGTGGTGACATACACCTTTAATTCCAGTACCAACCATAGAGACCTGGAGGTCTGTACAGACAGGAAGTGACAAGGAAGTGAGGTAGCTGGGCTAAGAGCCAATGAGAGAGCAGAACAGCAAGGCAATAAAAGTCTGGGTAGACAGGAAGTTGTTGCATTTTGGAAGTTGCAGAGCTGGTGAGGTAAGGTTGGTTGGTGGCTCTCACTAGTTCCCTGATCTCTAAAGCTTTCACCGCTATATTTGGCTCCATATTTTTTATTCAATAAGACTGCTTAGAAATTCAGCTACAGTTTTCATCTTTAATAAATGGTAAAATCATATGTATATGGAACAATTGTTTTGAAATAAATTTAATTATAATTTATTATGCATAACTTTTGAGTTGTATATCTATTTTATAAACCTTGGATCATGTAAAAGTTTCTCAGGTAAAAG